AGGCTCAAAATCCAGACGAACTGACCATTGTCGAGAACGAACAACTGGAGGTGATTGGCGAGGGCGACGGTGACGGTTGGCTACGCGCACGCAACTATCGTGGCGAGGAGGGCTATGTGCCGCACAATTATCTGGACATCGAACAGGATACTGCCGTTAACGGTAGCTCAGGCAATCAATTGCGCTCACAAATCTCATTCTCATCTGTCGATTATACGGTTGACAATGAAGATCAAACGGTGGATTCCATGCAGTCACCCGATCAGGTGTCCGTCATTATGGCGCCACAAAAGAAGAAGGCACCCGACGTACTCTATTGCATAGCGCTGTACGATTACGATGCCACCGCCGAAGATGAACTCACCTTCGAGGAGGGTCAAATTATAAAGATTGTAACAAAGACGGCGCATGGCGTAGACGATGGCTGGTGGGAGGGTGAATTGGATGGTAAATTTGGTAATTTTCCATCGTTGGTGGTGGAAGAGTGCGACGAGAATGGTGAACCGTTAACGGAAGGTGGCGATGAGTCACCACCACCGACCGCACCACCCAGCTTTGCGCTTCCACCGGCACCCGCACTACCGCCAGAGTATGCGCACGAATTGACCGAGGATATGTTTGAATCACAGGACACGGCAGGTGAGTGGCCTCAACTGACAGTTGAGTTTTGCCACTCATAAAAATAATTCTATGTATTTGTGTTTTTGTATTTAGACGACGATAGCGGCTACATACCGAACGGTGGCGCACCCAGCATGCCTCCACCAGGTAATTTAGTTTATTCACTAAGCAACATTAATGTTGCAATTTTCACAACTCCTTTGGTACTTCTACAAAATTTGATCTTTATTTTATTAAATTTTACTTATTATAAGAACTCCTGCTTCTACTTACTTACATACTTACATATAGTATATCTTTAGAGGTAACAGCCACAATACCCATCTTACTAAACAATGTGTGCTACAACTTCCAATTTCCAATTTGCAAAATCAAAAAGTGATTTGTACTTATTTCTTTTTATCAAAACAGTGTTGTCATTTTCTTATTGATTCTTAATTCAAAAAAAAAAATTAATAAAAATGCAAAAACCAAAAAAATGCCCATTAAAATTTACCTTCACATGTTTGCGTGTTGTTTGTAAGTGTGTGTGTCCGTGTATGTGTTTTCAAAAAGCCTTTTTCACGCGTTGCTTCTCAGAACACAAAACCACAAAAATCGCTTCAGCCTGCACCGCCACACCATAAATACAAATCTGATAAATAATCATGCATAAACTCACAGCCATAAATGTATGTGTGTATGTTTGTGTATGTTTTTTCATGTTTTCACACACACACTCCAATTTACATTTGCTTACCCTAATGCACACTGCACATACATACATAACACTTCCATGTCATTGTGTACACTTTTACTCACACATGAGTATCACTAAATTTTCATAAAAAAAATATTATCTCCTTTTTATATGGTATTCGTATTCGTATTAATGCGCTTTTGTTTTTCAAGTGCAAAGTAAGAAAGCCAGCGTCAAAAAGGGTAAATGCTAGTAGTGTTTGCTTCGAACTTCTTGCTTTACCGATTTTAATCCATTTCTTCTAAGTAGGCTGTCCTTGTATACAAACATACATACATACATATATAGTAGTTAACTCTTTTTTTTTTTAACCTGAAGTTTTACTATCCACTAATGAGGATGCGCACATACATACATATAGAAATTCTTAAATAGTATTTTGTCTTGATGTTTTCATGTTTGACTTACAC